CATCAAACTGTTTCTGGTTTTGTACTTTAGATGATCACCTACTTCTTGTTTTAACAGGTCTCTATTTTGATGTTAATACATTATCTGACACTACATTGCACCATCTACTCTCTGAGGCTAAAAAAAGTCTTTGTTTATTTTTCAAGAAATGTTTTCAACTTCATATGTACGATCAGATGACCTCCCTGACCTTTCCTAGTGTTCTAGATAATATGTCAGTGTAATGAAAGAATGAGTTTTCTTTGCGATTTATTTTTTCCTGTATTACTTTTCTTAATGAAGCAGGGTGGATCGCTGCATCTAGATCAAACTTGTGCAGCTTTTACTGATTTAAAACATAAAGAATATAATGTGGGACAATGCCATGTTTTAAGTGATTTGCCAGATGGCTACATGAACTGGGGTGTAATTCAAGTGAATCCTCTGCTATTACTTGCCTCCATGTATGTGTTTTATGAAGGATCATTTGTACATTATCAGTGGATAAAAGAATTAGGAAATTTTCCATCAGATCCATATTTAACATCATAGATCAATTCTCTTTTTTTTTCCTTTTGCCCCATCAGTTAATAATTTTATAATCCTCTTAGTGAAATGCCAAATCACCTCTCAGTGACAAGGCAGCTGGTCTTGCCTATAGAAATATACTCAAACATAAATAGGTCTGGAAACAAGCTCCGAGATCTCATATGAGTGAGGTCTTTGGTTCATTTTTCCAGACATAATCCAGAGGGTGCACAGACACACAACACTGGAAAAAAACCCCACTCAAATAATGGGATTATTTCCATTTAGGGGAGAGGTTCGAGTCAGAGCCCATTCCACCCAAAGTACTTCACCTTGCCTTCACCTCTAGCCCGAGCACAAACAGATGGGGTTTTTCTTCGGAGAAAGATTATTGCCCTTCTCATTGAGAATGTGTGCCAGGGCAGAAAGAAACCCAGGTGTTTCTGACTGATGAGGCTTACAGCTTTTTTCAAGAGATGTCAGTGGTTGTTCTGTGTGTGAGTATCAGGATTCTGTTGTACAGCAGTATTGAGTATTCTCTTACTCTGAGAGAAATTCAACAGGCCCTTTGCCCACTGGTTGCAGTGGGTTCAGCCTCCTGTATTCATCTCAGCTGGCAGACCTTGTCCAGGAGGGAGCAACCTGCACCATCCACAGCCCAGTAAGAATTGTTAGGGAAGTGCTGCTGCACTCACAGAACCAGCAGCACATCAGTCCAGGTGCCACCCACGTCAGGGTCAAGGAGGAATCCACACTGCCCCCTCTTCAGCTTCAGACAGGGGAGAAACCTAATGCACTTCCAACCTTACAGCTGTGCACACCATTGTCCCTCTACAGTCCAGGACTAATTTTGGACCTGTTCTAGAACTTCATATTGATCAAAACTTCATGTTGGTTCAAGAACAAGTTTAGATACATTTTTACCTCTGTCTACCTTATTGTAGTAGCTCCTTTAGCACAATAAGTCCTAAAATTATCTGGTTTACTAATGGCTGAATTGCATATCTGCTTTTTTTCTTTAGGGCTAGGGACACACAAAAGTGCTGCTTTGTGCCTCTGCTTCCCAAAGCATATTCCATTCAGGTCTGTGTAGAATACAAGTTCCTCATAGCAGAATGAGTCTCTTAAAGCAGTACTGAATGTGGTCACAGACAATAAAACACCAGTCCTATTTAAAGGGCTGCTGTGGTAGCTCTAATATCAATAATAATATCTTCCATCTTCAGACATGGAAATATTGGTTATGAAGTCCTTAGGACAGCCTTGCCTTTACTGTCCCTAAAGCAATGGTGACAGTAATGGATGGGAAAGGTAGGGTAACCCACAATGTGCAAAATAATGCAGATGAAAAACATCTGAGTGCTTCCCTACCCCCAGGAAGGATGCAACCTGAGATAGGAGCATATGTGTGCTGATTTAGAATAATATTTCCTTCCTACGTTAGTCTCTATGAAAATGCAAACAGGTGGTAGAAAGCTAGTGTTACATTCTGACAAAAGCTATTTCAACAACATGCCTGGGCTTGCCCCAGCTCAGGGACAGCGGAAGGAGCCAGGAGAGATGGAAAATAATAAGCAAGCTCCACCTAGTTGTGCTCTGCAGCTCACGAAGGTTTTAGGGATCATTTTCTTCCCTTGCTTTGCTCCTCTCCCTTCAAGTGGATAAATTCCCTGATCACAGGGAATGGAATGACACTTCAGGCTGTGCCAAGAGCTGGAAGCATGCCTGCTGGCAAAGCAGAGGTGACAGGGTCCTGCTGGGGCTGTCAGCCCTACCCTGCTGCCAAGAAAAGGTGCCAGGGAATAACCCCTTGGGTTCATTTACCTGCCCCAGGGCCAAATCTTGGCGCAGGTGATGTGTCTGAGCACGAGAGCTTGGGAGCACCTTTTTCATAACACTCTTGCATCAGTCATGGAAGGAGAGAGGAGGAGAGGAGGGGCAGATCGCCCAACTGTACACTGGCAAGCAAGGGGCCAAGCAGGAGAGGTGGTGGCTCAGCAGGTGTTTGGGTTATTGGGCTGGCCTTGCCTGGCATCGGGGCAGCACCTCTGTGCTTGTTGGGGAACAGATGTGTGTGGCTCCAGACAACTCAGGTATATGTGTTTGCCAGGAGCACATGCTGGAATGGAATACAGCCCACCTGCCTGCTTTCCCAAGCCTTATTTAGGTAATCCAAAAATATGCAACCATAAACGTAAGATAAATGCCAAAAATTTAGCCTGTAACTCTAGTTTTTAATTTTTTTTTTTTTGCCTTTCCCTGCAAGGTATTCAGCCCTCAACCAGAACAAGGAGAATCCAGCCAGCAGGCTTCTGGTATTTATCAACACAAAACCTTTTTGGACCCAGCATCACAAACCTTTCTATGCATCACTGGAATTAATCAACCCAATAACAACCTGCATCCATGAATTCCATTGGTGAGGATTAAATGCTGACAAAATAGGGAAAGTATGTTGCCTTGTGCACAGTAGCAGCAGCTCATCACTTAGCAATTCTACACCTGGACCACTTGCAACATTCAGAGTGGCTTAGAAATATGTGCTCCTGAAAAGTGTCTTTTTCTACTTGCAAATTCCTAGTAAGGTATTTTGGAGAAGGAAGGAAGGAATAGCATTGCCCAGACCTACGAGTGTAAAAGGACCAAAAAGAAGTTCCTAGTACTGCAACTGGTGAACATCGGATCTGCTAATGGATTTAGTACAGCTCTGCATTTACATAATTTAACTGAGAACAGAATTTAACCTTGTTATTTTATTACATAAAAACGATTGGAGTCCTGGATGAATGTCTGAACACTCAGACATTTTTTCCCTGATTATCTAGGGCAAAAAAAGTGAAAAATATAGTGGTTTAATAATTTGATTTTTTTTTAACTCTAATTAAAACTTTTTTCCTTGGGAGTGGAGAGAGAAGAGGTGTCCAATTAGAGTCCATTATAATTCTCACAGAGATATCATTAAGCTGGAAGATCAATAAAAATATCTTCTTACTGGACTGTTGCCACTTTAGGGACAGACATTTACGAGTAAGAAAAAAAATCCTTTCCCTGGGGAGTACATGATAGTGCTTTTTTAGGTAGAAGAATTTCACTTGATTTGTCTTTCCAGTGGCCAGTACTTATGAACAGTACTGTCCAGGGTTTAAGAAGAAAAAGAGTTTTGCTGTTACTGAAAAATTGTGTGAGTGTATACAGAAGTTTTTAATTAAAAGTAAATTCTATAGGAATTCTATAGTTTTATAGAAATTTTATTTTTAATGTATTCCTGTAACAATTAGAAATACCTTAAGTGGGTGAAGGCACTTGTTTTCACAGCCAAGTTTGGTGTTCTACCTGCAACAGTGTGCCTTGGATGACATAAGCATAAATACACAGTTCACCATCTGCCAAGTCCCTCCATTCCTACCATATCTTCTGAAAGTATCTTCTTTGGAAAGGGCTACAGTAGTTCCGGTAATGGCACTATGGTGTCTGAAAATGCAATTTACCATAATGTTTCAGGTAGTGAAGACTGAATTATAGTGAAAATCCTGGAGAAGTGCTAAGACATTCTCTACTGGTGGCAAATGTGTTCTTCCTGATTAACGTTTTTATAATAAAATACCATAATGATTAGGCCATTAATTTGAAAAGTCCTAAAGTAAAGTCCCAGCTGATGCTCTGTGGCATCATTTGTTAATGTCTTTTCTTCACTGGAAAAATAACCACAACAATGACAGCAGATCTCTTAAACTAAAATGTTACTGTTTCCTTAATAAAAGATAACATAATAATGTACATCAGAACATAATAGTGTGCATCATATCCAAAGTTACATTATTTCCAAAATGACTTTCTGCTATAAACAAGATTGGCCCATAACATAGTGCTGATATACTTAACACTCTTAGTTGCCTCATCAAGTAATTCTTATTAACTACTGTCTGTATCTTTTTGCTTACTATTAGTAATCTATTGCCAAGGAGTCCCTTCTAACCAAACCATGCTATGATTCTGTGCTGCTTTGCTGCTAAGTTGAAGGTTGTGGAAATTTCACAGAGCAGGTAATTACCAAGCAGATGAAGCTACCTTAAGAGAAAGGAACAGAGAAAGAAAAAGACAGAAGATTCCGGTAGTCTGCACTTCAAGACAAATAAAAGATGTGTTCTGCTGTTCTGCTCTTTAATGTTTCACTGAAATCCCTAAGGGGTATGCTACTGGCCCTTTTGATGTTTGCTTGTAGATAACAGCAAACAGAAAATGTGTGCGTAATGAGAATGATCAAGGCTCATTTGAACACAAAGATTGTTGTTGATGGAGACTGTGTAATACTACTTTTTGGCTGTGACTACAAATATCTCACGAATACCTGAAGAACTGGGTTGCATCATCAGCACAGAAAAAACCCCACAGTGCCTGCATTTGGTGTCTTCTCCTTTTTTTTTTTTAAATTATTGTTGCAGGTAATTATTTGTCTGAGAAAAGAGGAACATGTGGAGAAGGAAATGTGAAGGAATTAACGTGTAGGTAATGAGTGCTGTGAGGCAGTCCTTAGCACTGATTGTTCTTTCTCAGACAGGCTAGAGACTGTGGTATAGTCTATTTTAATGTTGTTGGGTTGCGGCTTTTTGGGTTTTTTGGTTGGTGGTTTTTTTGGATGGTTGGTTGGGGTTTTTTGTTTTGTTTGGGGATTTTTGTTTTTTTCCAAGCTGGATCAGAAGCAGTGGAAAGGATTCACTTGGACAACAATATGAAAAATTGCTCACTGACTTTGTGCTGATACCAGTTGCCTTGTGAGTTCAACAGGACTCCTCTAAAACGAAGCAATAGAAATAAGTTATGCTTTTTCTTGGTGAAACCTATGTAAGCATTCTAGTCCCCGAATAAAATACTTGTATTTGGGGCAAGGGGGTAGTTTGTTTCCTTCTTTTATTTTTTCTACTACCACTTGTTAAAACATAATGGAAGTGTGCTTATTTTGAGGGGAAATCTAAAAAATTAAAACACTGTAAAGATCCAGGTGGAGCAATTCAGCAGTAGCCAGAAGGCTGCAGCATTTACAGGGATGAATCCTGATCTACACAGTTGGTTTCTGTCTGTTTATTAACAAAGTTTAAGTTTTGAGAATTAACTTCTCAAAGTTAAGGAGAATTTGATAGTTAAACAGAAGGACACCTTTTTGTGCCTAATATATCTAACTTCTATCTTTGTAAAGATTTTTCAGATTCACAGGTTTTATAATCTTAGACATGCATAGAAAATGTGGTGCGGCTTCATGAACAAGGCCCCAGAGAGGCTGAGGTCCTGCTCCAGCCTGTGACTTGCTTGCTCTGGATAATGCAACCTAAAGTTGAGTGTGAACCCAAGCATACATTACCTGGTCTCCTGAGGACAGTCAGTTTGGTCCCTTATTTCTCCCACAGGGGTGACTGGATTTATGCTTATAATTCTCACTTTCTGGGACAAGCTGCAATTGTCCTGATGGAGAATGTGATCACTCCCAGGAGTGTTGCAGTTGGTGCGGATCAGAAAATCCTTTTGAAACCTGCCTAAATGGCAGGGAAGAGACACAGAAAATTTACCTTCTTCTGCTACCTCCTAAGAATGGAGTAAAGAAAACAAGGCCATATGGTTCAGAGCAGAAGATGCAACTTACCTTTCTCCTTTGTTACAACCAGAGTGTTCTCATCCACAGCCCACAGTGACTATCTCATGTCTGCAATCTCTTCACATCTGACCTCCTTGACCACCATCAGCCTTCATCACTCTCATCTGACTTGTTCTTCTTCATTTCTGGCAATGCCTTCCCCAAGTAACCTTGCAGTTTTCAGGAGGAGGTATAGGATAATGCATTTTTTAATTTGTTTGGATGAGTGTGTGTAGTTAAGGGACCCTTAGATGTAGTTCAGTAAAAAAGTTGGTTTGGATAAAAATTTATCACTGCAAGTTTGCTAATGACACCAAGCTGTGCAGTAAGGTCAACACTGGAGGGCAGGGATGCCATCCAGAGGGACCTTGACAGGCATGAGAGGTGGATCTGTGTGAACCTCATGAAGTTCAACAAGGCCAAGTGCAAGGTCCTGCACTTGGACCAGGGAAATCCCAGATATGGATGCAGGCTAGTTGGAAAACAGACTGAGACCAGCCCTGAGGAGAAGAACTTGGGGATGTTGGTAGACAAAAAAACCTCACCATGACCTGGCAATGGATGGCCACAGTGTAGAAGGCCACTGCTGCACCAAAAGCACTGTGGCCAGCAGGTTGGGGGAGATGATTCTGCCACTCTGGTCTGCTCCTGTGTGACCCCACCCCAAATACTGCATTCAGCTCTGGGATCCACAACATACGAGGGATTCAGACCAGCTGGGGTGAGTCCAGAAGAAGATCACAAAAATGATCAGAGTGTTGGAACCCCTCTCCTATGAAGACAGGCTGAAAGTGTAGTGTTTGTTCAGCCATGACAAGAGAAGGCTATGAGGAGACCTTATAGCACTTTACAGTAACTAAAGGGAGTTACAACGGAGCTGAAGAGGGACTTCTTACAAGGACATGTAGTGAAAGGACAAGGGGGAATGGCTTTAAACTCAGAGGGGAGGTTCAGATTAGATATTAGGAATAAATTCTTTACTATGAAAACATTCAGGCACTGGAACAGGTTGCCCAGAGAAGTTGTGGCTGGTCCATCCCTGAAAGTGTTCCACACCAGTTTGGGTGGGACTTTGAACAACCAGGTCTACTGGAAAGGGTCCCTGCCTATGGTAGAGGGGTTGAAACTAGATATAAGGTGCCTCCCAACCGAAACCATTCTATGATTCCATGATTGGTAAGTTGATGAGCTTACAGGAAAAACTACAGTCAAAACACTGTGAGGATGTTAGACAGAATTTCATGAAGGGATACAGGGATATGACCTTTAAATCCTATTTTCTTAGACCTTTTCATGTAGGTAGATGCATTATTGTTAGGTAGAGTTCTAGTTACTCTAATATCAGTTTGCTGTGTTGTCACCTATGTCCACACAGAGCTCTATCACAGTCAGGGAAGCTGAGAGTGGCCTCTAGAAATATATAAAGAGTTAAGTTCAAGTACGTGCTTCTTGAGATAAAAGGGAGAGAAAAACGTGCTGAGAACAATGGAAACAAGGCCAGTACCTCATCCGAGTACTTCCTGCCCTGCTTACATGAAATATAAATAAAAGAATCGGCAAGTAGAAGGAGAGACTATGAATGAAAGATATGTTCAGCACAGTTGCATTTTATTTGCAGTATGATAACTAAAACAATTTGGAAGCATCCCTTTTTGGAAAACGGTGGATCAGGAAATCCTCTTGTCAGAAAAAAGAATCTGAACTCTTGGGCACAGACACCTAAATACACAACTTGAACTCATCTCCAGGCTCAAACATTTAGGTTGTCTTTCCTCTGACAGAGAAGTTAATGAGCTAATAGCATAAGCAACCAACCTCAGCAGATTATCTATTTAAAAGGCTGGAAATGAAAAGCTTAACACCATGTCTTTGGGAACTCACGAAAATACCATTAATTACCAGGACCATCTAGTAGCTGGTTCCCTCTGAAGTTTTCCTCAGGTTAGCTGGCACTTGGCATGGGGCAGTTTTACCCAGTAAAGTGAATGATTACAAGTCTTGGGGCGGAAACGATCTCAACCTATTCTCAAACTTTCAACGGGTAAGGGGGCTGGCTTGCTGGTGTGGAGCCGTGCCGTGGAATGTGGGTGCTCAGTGGGCCACTTTTGGTAAGCAGTTGCAGGATCCCTAATGGCATACTTTTTTACTCAACAAAAAACACATGAATGAAAACTATTAGCCCTGACTTCAGAAGGAGGATAAGCTTAAATGATTATTTTTTCCATCACCTTCACTCTGGCAGTTTGAGAATGGACACGAGAAAATTTGATAGGGACAGATTTCTCAAAAATAACTGAGTGTATAGAAGTCTTGTGGGAAATAGAAAGTTGGTTACAGCAGAATTTTCAACTGGTTTCTCCACTAACAGCAGAGAAGAAGTAAACTTCAAACACTACCTTTTGGGCTGTCTGGCCATCAGCTGTTATCATGTAGGTAAACTCAAACTTCATGTAGTCTTATTTCAATAGTACAGGGAGTAAAGGAGGTATTCCAGAAACACAGAAAGAATCTGAAGGCAGTGCTATGTAAAGGGTAAAGGGAAAGAAAGTTAATTATTGTATTTATTTTGCAGAAATACAGGACATAAGCCCATACAAAAGCAGGTTTACTTCCTTGTTCTATTGAGCTTCTTTTAAATGCAAAATAATAGGTATCAGAAGCAAAATAACACTTCATCAGATGATGCTCCAGTTGTAAGGCACTATATACAATGTGGAGTGTTTGTAGCTTTTAGACTTCACTAGCACAGGTTTTTCTCACATTGTTAGGTGTGAGCAGGGGTTGCCTTATTATTTCATGATATTATACTGCCAAGTGCTAACCTTTCTCAGAGTAGAAAATGCAATTTTAGGGAAAACAAAATGCTTCCGAAAGCTGGTCATATGTCTTTAAGAAAAAAAAAAGATATTTCATTGCACTTATCCAGCTCAAGGACATAGTTAACCTTGAATATAGCTGATCAAAGGCAAGATATCTCTTGAGGCAACAGCGCTCTTTTTCCTCAGAGGAAGCTAATGATCCAGTCTCCAAGATCTTTGGAGAAAGGACCCATCTGCAGCTCCTAGTCACTGCTGACTGCCCTTGCTTTCTGGGGAGTGTGGCAGCCTAAACAGACTCAGAAAAAATCTGATTGGCCTGTTACATTCATAATTGAGGAGGGAAGCTTGGAGGTTTAAGTACTGTTTCTCAAAAAATTTCAAATGCTCTACCTCTTTCTTGTGAAAGGACTAACTCTGTTATTGCCAAGAATTCTGTGCAAGATTTGAACAATCTTGCATTCTTTTCTGTTAATTTTCCAGAACTTTAAGATGGTTTGACCATTTCCAACACACAGACAAGCTTTTGTACGTGTAAATGGGCTACTTTGCTTGGGTACCAGAGCTGTGGTTAACACTTAATACTCCTGTCTGGGGAACGTGGCAGCAAAGAGCTGCACAGATCTAGACGTTCTTTACTTTTGCCAGTTTTATGTTGCTCTTGTCATGAAATACCCAATTGCTTTTACTCATGCTTGTAAGATTTATCTCTCAGCTACATCTTGCCTGGGCTGAGTTAGGTGGTCTAACACATGGATTTGGGTTTGAAGAAGGCTTGGATTCGAGTTTTGAAGCTAACCACAAACTGTGCCTAAGGGGTGCCAAATGGAAACTCACATTGAGATTCAGTGATACTTACCAAAGCTACACAAGCACATGTTCTCATTTATGTCAGGATTAAATACCAACGGTTTTTATAATTTTAAGGAGATGACTTCAAGAATAGAAATGGTGATGTTGGTGCTCAGTTGAGATGTAAGGAAACTCAGGACTGTATCTTGTCCTCAAATCAGGCCCTTGAAAATGTTGTTGTGAGCTGTAATGTAAAAGTGTGTCCATACAGTATATTCACCCACCTTCAGTTATCGTTCCAGACTTTTATATTTACTTTGATAGCGGGATTCACAAAACAGCTCTCAGTCTTCAGTGTTTCTACTAGAGAAAAAAGAGTCTATCCTACCCATTTTAAAAAGTGCTGTCCCATCTGGCTTGAATCCGAAAAATCAGTCTGAGAAACTGCTCAGAGACTTTTTTTTTATCTTTGAGCAGCAAGGTATTTGTTTATTCAACGTTGGGAGCAAGCCAGCTCGTGCTGGACAAACTTGCTCGACTTGCAAGTCCAAAACTAAGCCATTTTATACATTTTAGATACATAGTTACATCATTTATTATACATATTAATAAGTAGGCTAGTCTCTGGGTGGAGTCTTTCCAGACATGCGCAGTCTTCTACTGTGGGGGTCTTCTCCTCAAGCCTTCGTCCCTCTGGTGGTCACCATGGACGTCTTCCTCAATTTGACCTCTTCAATTAGGTGACCTGAATTCTTCAAGCTTGCAAAATCCTGGGTCTGGGCCTTCTAGATCTTATTCAAAAGTCTAGTTTACCTAATTTATTACTGTGTGTGTACTACTCCTATTCTTTCTATAATAAGGCCTTTGGTCCAGTGAGCAGAACAGAATGTGATATTAACCAGTGCTCCTAAAATGTTCTTCTAGCAAAACAAGTATTGAGGTTTCTTAGCAGGCCAGGATATCTCAGTTAACTCTTTTAGGCCTGGCTCCTGTTTCAGGCTCTTCAGCCAGAACACCTGAAACACTCAAGTCTCTTTTTCGTAAATCCCACTCTCTCACCAGCTCTGCTCTGTGAAACTCAGGCATGTAAAAGAGTTACAAAATAAGACATAGTAAATAATCTTGCATAATTTCACTCCTTCTTTCTAGGCAGTCAACACTTGGGACTTTCAGATGTTGTATCACTAAAAAAAAAAAAAAAAGAATTATTCTGTCCTCAGAGGCTGATTACCAATGGACAACAGAAAAGTCCTCATGTGTCTCGATAATATGCATTCTTTGTATCCTTAAAAAATGCAGTATCTCCTAATCCTTTAAATAAGAAATGACCTAATTCCTCTAAATGGGATCATTAAGAACTCAAGTGTTCCAGGTATGAATTCCTGTTACTACTGTGCACCTTAATTTACTATTCATATGTGAATCCCTTTCTGTTCCCAGTTACTATTCAGCAACAGCAATTGACTCTTGAAATTATTCCCACAGGTTTGACTTTGCAAAGGACACTGCAGTTTACACCTTAGTTCCCTAATTAAAGACACAACGCTCAATAAACCTTGAACAACTACCAATTGGAAGTTAATCTCACCAAATCCCTGTTGACA